AGGCAGCTTGACCTATTTTCAGACTGCTCTCAACTTCGTGTCTTTTTGACATTGCTTGCTTAATTTTTTTACTTCAAACATTTTACAGGCTTTTTCACTATAATTCTGTTTTCAAGTGAACTCTAGAGCTTGTGAAAACTAACTGACCCTACTTGGAAACCATGGGCTCGTCAGAGTCCATGAAAGCTATTGGCCTATTTAAGCTGTGGGATTGGTATGCAGAGCCAAGCAAAAGATAGCCACACTCTCAGCTAGGGAAGAGATCACAGACTGGAGGGTTAAAACAAGAAAACCATAAGACTTCAAGAGAGCCAATGAGTCCTTGAACCACCAAGAGGAGTGTGTCATTAGAACAGAAAAGGAACCTACTATCTAGCTGCCAGTCCTGAAGTTTGAACTCCTTTGTTTATCCATAAATGTACAGCACAGGAAGCAGGTGCCACAGCAATGCTTTTTAAACACTATTTTGCTCATCTTAAACTCTGAGGGCAGTTTATTATTCATGCCTGTTCGGTCCAAAACTTTGTCAAGACTAAAAATAAGAATGTTAGTTATGCTTGTGTTTTTTACAGTACAGACTTTGGTCTGATAGGAAGCAGATAATGACCACAAAGGATGATGTGTGGTCTGACAGAAAGCAGATAAAAATCACAGAAGATGATGTTTAACTTCCCCAAATGTCATTGCTAAGTTAGGTTATAGATCTGAGCTGTAATCTGTAGCTGACAATGAGCCAAACAATTGCTTAATAGGCTGGCATTTTAGTAAACAAAGGATGGTTCCCACATGGACAAATGTGTTATGCAGTTAAGTGAATTATGAATGTATCAGCTATGTATACAAGATGTGGAGTATGCTGTATTATGAAAACTGATCATGTAGAACACTTAGTCCTTAGATTCCAAATGTTATGAAACATTGCTAAGGAGGTGTCATATGCTAATCTATCTATCTCCTTTAGACTGTGGGACAGGGTGTTCCTGATAAACCTGCTGACCAAAGTCAGAAGAATTTGTTAGGGGAACAGGGAGCAGAATTTTTACAGCGCAACACCACTGACTTCATATTTAACAGAGATTCTGCTGGTATATGCTTCTGTTAGCTATTTTAAATACAGGTTTCTAACTCCTTTACAGAAAATGGACTAAATAGAGCTTTTTAAAATAAAGAAATCTGTATCTCTTACCTAATATTTAATATTCCAAATGTTATAAGTCTAGCAGGAGTGACTAAGTGCTATTATGCAGACCAAATAAGGACTAAGCATAAGGACTATAGTCTAGACAATACTCCTATGAAGGAACATAATTGTCTGGTAACAAAGCTAACTACAACTTCTGGCTTGCAGGTCTCAAAAGGGAGTTGCAAATATATGGTCATTTAAGAAACTGAAGGGCTTTACTATTTTTTACTTCTTTTTTCATGCTTGTATTCTGTTAGGAACAAAAAACAAATGTTCCTAAATCTGGGCTGTTCTACGATCTCGACATTTTAGCACATGCAGTATGGTAATAAACTACAATCCTACAATTTCACTACAGAGTTTGGAACGACTCAGTATATGGATGTAAATCTAGGTGTTGGTCCTGCAGATTCAGACATGTTCTTACTCTAAAACATATGCAAGACCAGCTCTTAATTCTGCACAGCGGGTCCATCTCATCTTTTTTTAAACATGTACTAGTACAAGGGGAACAACTTGCTAGGCAGCAGTAGCACAGAAAAGGAGCTGGGGATTACTGTGGACCAAAATCTGCATATCCTTCAACAGTAAGGTATAGCTGCTAAAAAAGAAGGGGAAAAAATCCCCAAACACAAAGGCAAATCTCATTCCAAGATGTATTAACAGAATGATCATCTGAAAGGCAGAGGAATTCATTATTCCACAGTACTTGGATATAGTAGAGCCTCAGGTAGAGTGCTGTGTTCTGTCCTGGGCATCACACAATTAAAGTATAAAGTAAGCAAATTGGAAATAGTTCAGATGATGTGCAACAGAAATTATAAGAGATTTAGGAAGTATGACTTCAGAGAAAAAGTTGAAAGTTGGGTTTATTTGGTTTAGAAAAGAGAAGGGCAAGACAAGACATGATACCCTCTCTTACATACTTAAAATCAGTTATCTGTAAACATTTCACTGAACTGTACATCTGTTTGAGAAGTTTAGACTGAGCAAAAAAATGGCTGGCCTGATTTAAATTAATTAACCTGAGAAGGTGCACTAAGTAGATCAGGTTAACCTGAGCCCAATTTAGCTGAACGTATATATAAGTTTGGAGTGCAGCCCTAGTCCTGGGAAAGGCCAGCTGCTCACTCCAGCCCCAAGGCTGTACTTTTCCTGCTCCCCCTCTCCAACCCTGACTGAGCTACAGTTAGCCCTCCAGCTCCCTCCTCCCCCCTGCCAATTGACAACCCCTTGATCCTGCCACACCCCCAGACCTGCTAGCCCCTTCACACCCCAACTTAATTACATCATGCTTCTGGTATGGTTTGTAGCACCAGTGAATGTGGGAACTTCGGCACATGCCCAGAGTGTTATAAGGAATACAGTGATTGATTATACTCAATGCCCAGTGAAGGCGGAAGAAGAAATGGTTGGCTTAATTTGCAGCAAGGGATATTTAGGTTGGATACTTGGAAAAAGCTTTCTAATGATAAAGAAAGTTAAAGCACTGACACAGGCTGCAGAGGGAGCTTAAAGAATCCTTGTCACTGGAGTTTTTTAAGAATAGGTTAGACAAACATGTCAGGGATGGTCTAGTAGTTATACTTAATCCTGTCTCACAGAAGGGCTATGGACTAGATGAGTGTGGCAGGGACAGGGGCCCAGGCCCTGCTACACTCCTGCAGAACCAGCCATGCTGGCTGGGAACTCACCAGTTTGGGTCCGGATGCATAGCGTGGCTATGGAGCATGGGAAAACACACAGCTGCCAGCAATCCCAGGAGCATAAGGACATGTGCTGTGGGGAACCGGCAGTGAGAAGCAGGCAATTTAAAAGGAAGTCGCTGAGAGAACTCGGCGTTCAGTGTCCCCAGCATGGGAAAAGACCAGTGGAGCCTGCCAGATGGGAAGACCTCAGAGGAGAAGCTGCACACAGACCCTGTGGAACTGCCAGGACCAGGACCAGCCTGAGCAAGGAACAATGAACTCTCCCCAAAAGCTAAGTAAACATTGACTGGGGGTGGGAGGCGGGAGGTAGGGAAGTCTAAAGCAGAGGGTGCCTGAGTGAAGGGAAAGGAAGCCCGAGGGATTCATTTGTAAGTTTTGGTTTGTAAAGGAAAGGAGGGGATCAAGGCCCATGGCTAAGTGACCCATTCTTTGATTTGGTGCATCTATGGTACAGAAGAATGCTGGGGGAAAGAAGAAGGTGAAAAAAGCCCCACTTCCCCAAAGATTTTAGTTACAGTTAAGAAAGAAGCTGGACCCTGTTCTCATAAAAGGGGACTTGTGAAGAAGCCAGAGTCAAAAGGCCAGGGGAGAAAGGGGAAGAAAGTTGAATGAGTTCCCAAAGATCTTTTGTTTTGATTTGATGGGAATGTTTATATATCTGCTGAACTGATGGCTAGGGAGAGACATTAAAGAGCCTGACTTGATTCAATCTTTGCAGGTTAGTCTAACCTGGCTAGGTTAAATCAGTTTTGTAACCAGGCAGACATCCCAGAAATGCCTCAATGCCTCAGGCTAGAATCAGGGGAGGGGCTACAGCAGTCCTCCATTGCTTCCACAGGGCTGAGCTGAGGGGGCACGGCCAGGCCTTGGCAGGATGCTCTGATTACTCCCCCCACCTCCAAAGCAGCCCAGCAGGGAAGATTTATCACCCCTAACTCAGTGTTTATCAACCCATTAAGAAAACAAAGCCTCTCTCCATTAACTAATGGAGCTCTTCTTAAACAGCTCTTTCAAGGATGGACATTAAGCTACCTGTTGATTAGCTCCAAAAAGCCTGTCTGCCTGTCCACAGCACAAACCGGAGCCAGCCTGTGGTATGCTAGCTAATGCTGAGATGTCTGTGTAAATCAGAGGGGAGGAGGGAATAATCCCTGCTCATCAGGGAGAAGCCAGGCAGATGCTCTGTGTCTGCAAGTCTCTGCCAGAGCTCTGGCCAGGGAGCAGAGGGGAAGGGCCAGTTCTTCTGTGGAAAAGAGAGCCCCACCCAGCCCAGAGAGCATCCCAGGATGTTGAGGGTGTCTGGTTTATCTTAAAATCAGCAACAGATCTGGGACAGACATTGCATAAACTGGTTTGAGCCAAATCAGTTAAGTCTGATACTACATTCAACTGGGTTTATCTCAAACCGGTTTCAGCCATTTTCAAGCTGGTTGATGTGCACTGAACATCTGTTCTTTGAGGTTTAAACCCGTTTATGATCACTTAAACTGGTTTATGTATAACGTCTGTCCCTAGCCATGAAGGAGGAGAACTGGATGCTGTGAGCTGAAGACCAGGGGGAGAGAGGCAAAGAATAGTCTCTATTCGCCATGGAGAATAGTGACCATCAGCCCAAGAGGAAATGGGCAGAGTGTAGGGAAGGTAGAGCCCTGCGGAAGAACTGCCACGGGTCAAGCTGATTGCCCAGTCAAGAATATCAGTCCTCCCAAGCATTCATGTTTCATCAAGGAATGGCAGACGAATGGGAGGTAGAGATGGAGGTCAGAATAACCCAATTCAAAGCTGAAGCAGAAGAATACAGCCTGCTCACAATAAGCTTGTGATTACTTATTTTCCTATGATTTCTAACACAGTCACAAGCATGCTGCTTCTCAAATTGCCCTTCTGGGAACCCAAAAGAGATGGCTAAGTTTTCTGCTTGTGTAAACTGGTACCATTCTATTGACTTTAATGGGACTACAGAAAATTACACCAGCAGAGTGTTTGGCCTGATACATTTCTTATGAGGTCTCTTAAATGACAATCCTCTTTTCCATAGCAGTGCAGCACATCATAAGCGATGTTCTTTGCTCTACAGACATGGAATTGGTAGGGGGATAATTACTCACTCTTTGTCTGGCTTCTGCTTTCTGAAAACATTCATGCTGTATAAAGGTAATTGCAGCAAGTATCCTTGACAGTGATGATGGCGATGACGTATTTTCGTTATCCAATATGTTGATTGCATATTCCATGGTCATCTCCCTTTCTGGATTCCTACAATACAGCCATGGAAGATGTAGTGAACCAACATGGCAGAGCACCTGAATGCAGGTGATAGGTGTTTTTTTTTTTTAAACCAGGCTATTCATCTCTTTCAAAGCTCTTTAAATTTACTTAAAACCTGATTGTCTTTCCAGTAACAAAAGATCATGATATTCACAGTGGCATGCAAAATATTTTGGGGAAAAAAATGAACACGTGACAAGTGTAGTTGTTCTGAAATGAGGGCTAGGGATAAACATTCAAAAAACCTGAATTGATCCAATCTTTCTGGTTAGTCTAACCTGGTTAGGCTGAATCACTTTGTAACATGCCTGCAGTGGCCCCGGCTAGAACCCAGGCGATGCTAGAGCAACCCTCCCTTCCTTTCCCAGGGCTGAACTGACAGGGGTGCGGCCAGCCCCGGCGGGATTAGGGAGGGGTTCCCCCCTCCCCACCTTGAATGATAACAGAGAATTTATCAGCTCAGTTATGAGCACTGATCACCTCAGCAGAAAAGAAACAGCCTCTTTCATTACTTCATACTCTTCTTAAAGAAGGAACAAAGGGACATTACCAGCTGAGCTTTGATTAGCTCCAAAAAGTCCTAAGCCAACACTGCTGTTTGCCACAGCACAGACCATAGCCAGCCTGTGTCTGTTAGCTAATGCTGTATTTCTGTGTAAGGCAGAGGGGATGGGGGATCCCTGCTTATCAGGAAGTGGGGAGAGGAGGGGGAAAGCAGGCAGACATTGCTGTGCCTGCAAGTCCCTGCTGGAATTGCAGCCAGGGAGCAGAGGGGAGGAGCCAGCTCTGCTGTGGAGCAGACAGCCCTGCCTAGCTCAAAGAGCATGCTGGGATGCGGGGGGAGTCTGGTGTAAGTTAAACCAGCAGGGGGTCTGGGACAGACATTGCATAAACTGGTTTGAGCCAAATCAGTTAGGTCTGATACTACATTCAACTGGGTTTATCTCAAACCAGTTTCAGTCATTTTCAAACTGGTTTATGTGCACTGAACATCTGTCCTGTTACAGTTTTAAACCAGTTTCTGATCACTTAAACTGGTGTATGTACAATATCTGTCCCTAGCCAAGGAGATTCAGTACAAAATAAACACTACTGGAATTACAAACAAATGTAGACGTTCAAAAAGGTGAAGCATTCAGCTCCTGTAGGGGGATGAACACTACATGAAAGTGTAGGCCCTAATGAAGGACGAGTTAAAATTATAGGGGTTCTTAGTGACCATCAGGTATTTCAATGTTTACTTTTCTCACCAGTACCATTTATATAATATTACTGTAGCTGTTTTAGTGTTCTATCCATTTTTTTCTGCTGTATTCATGGAGTGCTTGAAGCACTGACCTTTTTTTCTTGGGTGCTATGCAAAATACTCTAGTTTCAAGCAGAAGGAAAATGTCTGTTTAAGGTAGAACAAAACAAACAACCAACAAAAAATGAAAGTGCCATTTACTAAACTGAATGTGTAAATGTTTTCACAGTGTCATTCAGAAACTAGGACTGCACACAGACCTTTGGGGAGGTTATATTGCATTAAAATTGGTCGCCTGATCTAAATTAGTTTGCCCAGGTGTGGGCGTTACACTTGGATCCCTAGTAGGTTGATTTAAGCGCAAGCTGTAGAAATGATCCAGGAAGATTAGATTGGTCTAAAAATGGCTGACCCAATCTAAATTATCCCTACCTCTGAGATAGTTTAACTTAGAATTTGTTAGCCTTTTTTAGACTGATCTAATTGTCCTGAACCTCTGAACAGTTCCCAGCGCAGTCCCAAGGCTAGAAAAGCCCCAGAACTGTGCTTTTCCTACCTGTTCCCCTAACATCAGGCTATTTTTAGCCCCCTAGCTCCTTGCCTCACCCCCAGATGTACAACCCCTCCCCCCAGCCCAGCAATTCCCTCGATTCCGCAAGCCACAGTTAATACCCGTTTTATCAGCATTCAGCTAATGTGGGGAGCTAAGGAAGTAAGTTGTAGTGGGGGAAGGATGGGGGATAGGTTATTTGTCTGGGTCCAAGGGGGATAAAATTAGCCCCTAGTGAGGGGCAGGAGGGTAGAGAACATTTTTTCTGCAAGAACATTTTTTCTCTGCTTGTCCCACCAAAGCTCACTTGCCCCCCCATCTCCCCTGTGGATCTTGCCTGACCCTAATACCCCTACAGACTCCCTGATCCCCCCCACCCCCACTAGCACCCTCCATCCTGATTTATCTTTTATCGGGTAGCTATTTTTAACTCAGTCCAGCCTCCCCCTAACCTCCCCAAATATCTGTACACAGACTAAGTGTCCATTTTCCTGCTACTTCTTAGCCTTTTTGCCTGAATGACAATTACGTCAGACAACTAAATCAAAAGATGGAAGGAGAAGTCATCAGGTTCATTATTTTTTGATAAAAATTACTTACAAGGGATCTATACCAATAAAATGTGTATGCATGCATGCATGCACGTTAAGCATAAACTTAGAACAGATTTTTAAAAAAGTCCCTCATTACCCTCCAAAAATATTTCTGACTTACAGACAGCTGGCCAGGAAATGAATTTCAGTTCCAAATTTTTTTGAAGTTTTTGAAATTACAGAAATATTTGTTAAAATCCTAAATCGGGCAAAAGGCCAGAAAATTGATGTTTTTGAGAAAGTGAAAGAATGCAATATTTAGATTTGGAAATACAAATGGTTTTCAAAGTGATGCTCTCCAGCTGCCCCAGCAGGTAGCCAAGCCCAAGATCCAGTCTGCACAATGAACTGCAGCTACATATTCTAGAAGACTAGGTTTACCCTCACTCTACCAGGTGGACTGAAGAGAAGAAGAGTGGGTGGGACAGGCAATGTTCTGCCAAAAAAAAAATTTATATTAAAACATTTTTCCCAGAAACATTTCTAGTTTGCCGAATTGGAAAACTCTAATGAAATTAAATTTAGTTGGAATTTTCTTTAGCAGCTTTGAGTGGCAAGATATAAACAGGCATTGCCAAATAAAGCTGATAATCTGTGCAGGGATGTGACCAGACATACAGCTGATCTGCTTCCTCAGGCGACATAGACATTACCTGTTGTTCCACAGAGTTGGGTCCCTGCTACTCTTGGAGCTTCAGGGACCCAGTCCTGCAGGACAGCTGCAAACAGAGGAACTTTAGGCTCCCTGCTGGCAGACAAATGCCCTGGGAAGCCCAACACTCTCCCACCATAAAGCAAACAGATGTCCATCACAAAGTGGCACACAATTATGCTATCTACTGTTGCAGCCACAATTTTAGGCATCTGTAGTGTAATGAGGAGCACAGACATCTGTTTACTTGGCTTTTGTGCTGCTCCAAAAAGCCTAAGTTAACATCTGTCAGGGCTGGTGGTTGATTTAGGGCTTAACACATAAGTAGTTTAGCTGCAAGAACAGAGATCAAGTCCAACATCTGCATCACAAGTGAAATTATACTTTTATATCTTCTAGTTTCTACCTCCTGTTCTATTTTCTTCTTTTTTTAATCATGCAGTTTTCTTTCTTTTTTCATCTGTGACTTACTATTTTGAGCAGATATATTTAATATGTAGAGAATAAGGAGTGCTCAGTAGGACAAACACATACTCTCAGTAACAGCAGGGCAACTCTGTAAAGGACAGGGCACAAATAAAAGCTGGAATGAAGGGAAACTGCCTGAGAAGTTCAGAGGGAACAGCAAAATAAAAATCTGGCCAGGACATGGCAGGATGCTCTGATCAGGGACGGATTTAAATGCCTACCCTGGCCTGCACTGTTCCAGGCTTTTCACCACTCACTGCTCAAGGAGCAGGAATGTTGCCAGCCCCCAGCCCCTGGCTAGAACCCTCAGACAAAGAGGGAGGGGGAGAGGGAGGACTGCTTGTGTGCTGTATGTGTATCTGTTGATGATACTGAGCTTTCCAATCTCCCTCTCCCTGCTTCTTCATACTGTCTGCAGCAAACCTGACAGGCAAGGGAGCCAGCATGGAGCTGATAACACAGAGTTTATTAGCCCATCAAGAAAACAAAAGCCTCTCTCATTAGTTCAAGCTCTTCTTAAACAGCTTTTTCCAAGGAAGGAAAGGAGGGACATTACCAGCTGACCTGTTGATTTGCTCCAAAAAACCCTAAGCAGACATTCCTGTCTGCCTTTGTCCTGTTCCAGTGAAATTGGAGACACACACACAGGCACCTCTCAGAATTAGCTAGCTTATCACATGTCAGTTAGGGTTCATTCAGTGGGAGATAGGAGGGAGGGAGCGTGGTGATCCCTACTTGAGCAGCAATTGGCCGGGGGGGGGGGGGGGCAGAGCGATCCAAACTGCTGTGCCTGCAGTTTCCACCAGACCTCTGGCTAGGGAGCAGACAGGCCAGGCCAGGCCAGGCCAGCCCAGCCCAGCTCTCTCTGGAGTAGACAGCCCAGCCCAGGGCTGCAAAGCATCTGGGATGCTGGGGGACTCTGGTTTAAACTTAAACCAGGAAGGGGCCTGGGACAGACATTGTACAAATCAGTTTGACCCAAATCAGTTAAGTCTGATACTACATTCAACAGGTTTAGCTTAAATTAGTTTCAGCCATTTTGAAACTGGTTTATGTGCACTGAACATCTGTACTGTTACAGGTTTAAACCAGTTTATGTATAATGTCTGTCCCTAACCTATGTTACTGATTAGCAAATAGGTAAATTAACTTCCAGGTCATTCTAAGAGACAGATAGCCAGATTATCTTAATTACCAAAACACACAGGAGCTGAAATACAATTTTTGTCTGGTCCTTTTGTGGTGGCCTCAGGATAAATCAACATTTGACTCAAAAAGAAAGTTACTTCCTAAACAGTCTTGTAACATCATAGTTTCATAGTTTCATAGTTTCTAGGGTCGGAAGGGACCTGAGCAGATCATCTAGTCCGACCCCCTGCCATGGCAGGAAGAGCACTGGGATCAAATGACCCCAGTAAGGTGGTCATCCAACCTTCTCTTAAAACCCCCCAGGGTGGGAGCCTGCACCACCTCACTTGGAAGCTGGTTCCAGACCCTAGCCGCCCTGACCGTGAAGTAGCGCCTGGCTGAAATTCAGAATTTCCATTTTGAGGGATAGTCCAACATTTCAAAATTGGAACATGGACTAAAAATTTTGAAATTCCCTGTGGAAAGGAAATTCAGAAAACTTTTCCATTTGGAAAAAAAATCTAAATACTGAGAAACCTGTTTAAAGTTTTAGAAGTTGGGGCAGCTTGGGGAATTTCTCCAGGGGTGAGGGAGTCACTCTCTGGCAAATGGAGGAGGCTAAAAGCTCTGAGAGTTGTTGCTATGGAACTGGGAGGCTAGAAGTCATGGCTGCATTCAGGTTCCTGGTCTTCCAGGCTCTTTGCTGCAGAGCAAAGATTGAGCCAAGGTTCTTAGGTTTTTCAGGCTGCCTGATAAAGAGCTGTGAAGCCACGCAACTCCCAGAACCAGAGCAGTCCATATGCTGGGGACTGGCATGAATCACAGTCCCTCCTGGTCTGGGTCGCAAGGTAAGGTACTCAGGAAACCCAGTCTGTTTTTTCACACAAATTTCACTAAATCAAAGCGTTTCCATGAAACTTTTCTTTTAATGAACTAGTATATTCTAATAACGAAGTATTTCATCAGAATGTTCCTGACATACTCTAAGAGAAACCAGAGTTGAACTGATCTGGTCTATTCAATGGTACAAAGCCTATCAATATATTATTGTAAAATATGTTAGATTGCAAACAATTCAGTGTAAATGCCACATTTCTAACCCCAACCTTCAAGCTCTGCACTGACTTAAGAGCCATTGCCCAGAGGTGCATCTATTCTTTCTATTCAGCTGCAAAACACATGGGTACAAAATCCATATGAAAGCTTCTGATTACTTGCTATAAACTGGAGAAGAATTAGGTTCAGGCTTACCGTAGCTGAGATCCAGTAGTGGCTACTCTTTCAGTCTGTAAGAAACCAGTTCCTGCTGCCGCCACAGCAGCTGTCAGTGCCATCTTCCTCGCGTCAGTCTCTGCAGCGCCAGTTGTCACTGAAGTTGGCTTGGAAACTTCTCTTTTGGTTTGTGTGCTTCTGGCTGTGTTTCGGTGCCAGCTAGACCTCAAGGATAGTCTGTTCTGAGCTGCAATTTGGGATGCAATAGATGATCTGACTTGTCCCATGGCACTACCCAAGGTCAAGTAGTTCTCTTTCTCCAGGAGGTTGGTCATACTGCGACTGCTCCCATCTTGTTGGTACAAAGGTACAGCAGGGCTAGTAGGGGGACTGTCAAAGACTGTGTTACTAATGGGCCCTATATGGAATTGTCTTGGATAACTACGCCCTCTGCTTATAGAAGCCTCCTTGCTGTAACTAATGATGTCAGAGCGAGCGTATCTTGGTGAAACAACAACATTGGACCTCCTACTATCTCCATGCCTTCGAGTGAATCCAGACTGATTCCCTCTGTTGTAATAGAAATCATTGTGCACAAATACCATCTTCTCGGGGCTACTCTGGGGACAAATCTCTAATCTCTTTAGAGGCTGCCTTTGAGACCTGTCTTCTACTGTCGTGTAAACATTATATTGTAAGGATCTATTCCCCCAGCCATTTGTAAAAGTAGTTGGTGAGCCTGCCTGCACAAAAAAGATGCAAAAAATAACAAAAGTCACAAAGAAGATAGCACTTTGGTATCACAATAACAAAACAAGGTTGCTAATTTCTATTTGAACAGGTCAATAAACTGTGATTGCCACTAGAAGTATGGATGAAAATGGGTTTTATTACACTTGTGTGACTTCCCACTGAAACTAAGGAGTATTTTCTAGTCATTAGCCAGAGACTGAAAGTCAGGACATCAGATTCTACTTGCATCTCTAATACCTGAGATTGTACTTTGAGTTAGTAAGTCACTATGACCTGTATATCCAAAGGGGTTCCTACACTGTTTGGCATCTCAGTCTAGGTTTGAGTTTCCGAAGTAACATTTACATCTGCAGTTAAATGTCTATCTATGCCTTCAAGACCCTGCAAAAAATGAAAAATGTTGGCTAGGTCAGAGAAAAGCATATTCTGTGATGTTGGTAATAGAAATATAGCAACACAGGACTAAGAGGACCCTCTAGAACAGTGTTTCCCAACTTTTTCCAGCCCAAGGCATGCTTATATTATTAAAAATGTTCTGTGGCACACCTGTTGAGGCATTCCTCATCCCCATATTTATGAGCTCATTGTAGCTCCTAGCTGCGGCAAAACTCTGCGGCACGCCTGTTCATTTCTGATGGCACACCATTGTGTCCTGTCACTGGTCAAGTACACCTGGAAAGATGCTTGTAAAACACAGGTTTTACTACTAATTTTGTAAAACACAGGTTCCTACTAATTTCCAGAGACAGATTTCACAGCTTCTTTATGGAAATCTGATCCAGAGTTTCAGCACCCAAACAAAGTTTTTCTTAGTATTCAACTTCAATTTCCTTTACAGGAAATTGAGCCAATTTCTGCTCTTTCCATTACCAGTGGATAATAGCTTTTTTCCCCTTTTTTTTAACCAGAAGACTGGTATTATGCCCCTCTCTACTTGTTTCTCTTTCGTATCTTAAACAAACTCAATTCCTTTAAACATTTTTTATCTGGGCCACATTTTTCAAACTTCTAATATATATTTTTTTGCTCTTCTGTACACTTTCCCCAATTTTTTAAGATGTAGTATTTAGACTTATGACTGGCCTCACTTATGACAGTTACAAGTCATTTCTGTTTTTTTCCCTTCATTTTCCTTACCCTGTCAGATTGATAATATGTGCCTCCGTATGAAGGTCTTGACACGGAATCATTTTCAGTCATGCCCAGTTTATAAACATACTCTGGAACACTGTTGGCTCGATGAAGACTACCTGTAATTGAAAAAGAGCAATGTAAGTATGAACTTAAGAAACTGTTTTGTTGTAAAAGGACAATTTATGGTGACACATATGGTCAGTTTATGATACTGGTACATGAAGATTAAATAGTAGAAAATTGAAAAGTATCAGGAATTCAATATATTACATTCATATTGTGGATAAGCAAGGCTTTCTGATGGCAACGGGTCATTTTTTTCAATTGTGTAGTTGTGCATTTTTACAAAGCAGTACATATTTTAGCTGTCTTATACATAGAGTTTATGGCAATGAACGGATACTTAAAAGAACATGTTCAATCTTACATAGGTATTGTTTTCTATTATAGACACTCTCAAGATACACATGGAGTTAAAAACAGGGTCTGAAGTCAACACATAAAATATGCAAGCAGAGCACAGATTTATGAAAAGTACAGATGCAAAGTGTTAGTGACAAAATGTATTTATATGTGCATGCTATCATTTGTTAAAATAATGCAGCTACAATTTTGATGCATCATGAAAATACCAGCACATCTTGTTTGTAGAAATGGTACTTTATAGTTTCTTAACTCAGCTATTGATGATTATTTTTTGGGCTCTAACCTGCTGTTAACATCCTGAATGCTTTGTTAATCCCTTGAATGCTGCATCCAGAGTGCACTAAAAGGCCATGAGCAAAATCTATGGATTATGAAGACATATGGCATACAACCCTGAGAAACAAAAGGAGGTTAATGACGCTTCCAATCCATATCTGAAAGGTTTCATAATTCTATAGAAAGTGTGGGAGGCATGCGGTACACATTCTCTGTCTCTTTTCAAGGACTAGCACTGAAGGAAAAATTGTGTTATTTGTTGTTGTTCTTGGGTTACAATCTGATTTTTCTTTTAATAAAAAGGAATTTCCCAGTTGTTATCCTTTAATTAATTTCATGTTCCTTAAAGTTCCTTGATTAAAAAGAAAATGAATGACCTGGTAATGCATTCTACTGAAATCCCTGCTCAAAGGTGTCCCATAGCTGTGAGTACCTCCACATGCATGTAAAACATACAAAATACTTCTATGAAAGGTAAAGCAAAAGTCAAAAGCTCAAGAAAAGTTCCTCTAGCAGTCATAATTGGGTCAGCATGTTATTCAATAATTCATGTAGATGCAAAACCAGTGTTTAGCAAAGGAGAATCTTGAAGAACTCAATGGTAACATTACTTTGATCCAAATGGCAAAGACTATTCTAGATGCTAAGCAGAAGAACCAACCTAAAACATGACATGGCTATGCCAGCCAAAAGTCTCCATCTCAAACTCTAGGGCCACATTTACAAAGCAGTAAGATGCCAAATATGCAGATAAGGGTAGGGTGTACAAGAACATCTAAGTGAGCATGTATCTAACAGCCATTGGCTTTCAATGGGAGTTAGGCACCTAACTTGCTTAGGTACGATAGGTATCCTTAGGCACCTTAATAGCTTCTCAAATCCGGCCTTGGTAATTATTTTATGGTTGAGACTTGGCAAGAATAGGACAGACCAAGAACACTGAATTAGCTTTGAAGAAGAATTATTAAGGATTTTCGAACATGTGTATGTTGAAAAGCAGAGTGTAAAGCCAATTGGGCAAATTCAATTGGAGGCTTCACTTGCTTTGTTCTGGCAATGTAAAACCCCCGTAAACAAGGCTTACTTGACTGACAAGTTTGTGTCCCTGGAATGGCAGCATGCAGTCTGGTCACAGTAGGCATGTGATCATTTCTTTTTGACATAAGTGTGAGGGTTTTTTTCTTAGCCAAGGGTTACCTAAGACCTTGAATAAGCAGTGCCATCAGAAAGCCCAAATGTCCATGCACTTTATTTGATTTATTTTTAGATCACACCGCAGTGCTGTCCTGAGTGTCCAGTAGTACTAAAATGTAGTATAATAATCTGTCTCTTTCAAAATTACATGCGTCTTTTGAAACCTCACAGGACTAACACACCTCCCAAAGAAGTCCAGTTATTTATATATTGCTTAAAAATGCTTCTTGAAGCAACTCCTCCAGTATCATTACTCCATTTCTTGTTTGTTTTGTGCTTTATGATTGGAATTTTAGGAGAGGCTGAAGGGATCTGGGTGTCCAGCTTACTTTGACTTTCAATGAGAGCTGGGCATCAAATTTCCCTGGGACCTCTGAAATTCCAGCCTATATTGTTGTCTATTACTTATCTAGTTAGAACATAAAAGTCCTTGAACAAGGCCCATGCCTCCTGCACGTTTTGGGCTGCACTGAATCCATTGTCTGTACACAACAAATAATAAAACAACAATGATCCCCACAGATCCCATTAACTAAACTAGTATAAGTGTCAGGCCTTTGCACAGCCTTTGCATAACCAAAATATTGTTGATCAGAAATTGCACCATTTAGAGACTTTTTGGTAAACAAAAGCTTTTAGACTTTTACCAGCCAAGTGGTTTAACCTTCAGCTGTCTTGTTAAAGTATGCTTCAGCAAACAAAACTTTTTTTTTCAGCAGCAAACACAGGATAGTCGTCAGGTTGTGGAATTTCACATTATATTCATAGTATCTACTGTTCGTTTTTTCAACACCAATAAACAATGCTGATGGCACTTCTCCCTTAGATTATGTGTGCAAAACAAGGTGTGGCTTGTAAGAAAATGATTCTCCTACTTGTGTCAAAAACCAGTGATTTGAAGGAAGAGGGGCTAACTTAAACACTGTGCAGTTATTTGGCTCACAAGAGGAGACCTGATTTATACTTGGGTTGTCTCCCTTGAAGGAGGTATAGCATCTGACTTCTTTTCTCTGGGTTCTTTGCTGTCTGGGGCTATATGCTTTGTCTCAAATTTTGCAGTTTCGTCAGCCTCAGGGAGACAAAAATTATGAGTTAGTTCCAATTCAATCAGCTTAAAAAACAGCTGAAAAGAAAAATGAGTTTAAAACTCACTGGTGTAATTAGATGCTTGAGCACCCTGTGCTGCATTGGCAGAGGGTGTAGTGGCAGTGCAGTGGCTGCTATTTTTGCATCCCCTCCCAAGAACGCAGCACCCAGCACTGGAGCTTTGGTCACTCCCTCCTAAAAGTAGTGGGCTTTTTAAAAATAAGGTCTAGAGACGTCTCGCTTTCCTTTAGGGTTAATATTTTCAGTCTTTTGTCTGCAACAAAGAAAGGTAGACATTTAATCTTAGGTTTTATATGTTGGTATCGTTGCTGTTGTTAAGAACAGCAACAAAATGATGCAACTGCCAAGACTCCAACAACTGAGTCTTTGGGGAAGAAAAGTAACAGACCACCAACATTGCAAAACCTGTGATAATACTGGAAAAAATGGCAAGTAAGATGTGTGGGAGGAGTCCTAAAGAGGCTGAGTGGACTACTGCAGATATCTTTGGAGAGTATTTCTCCTGCATCCCTCCTTACTTCCTTGGGCATGTGACTAGGGTTATTTACGTGTCTCAAAACGCATAGGTACTTAATTTCTCCCAATAAATAACCAGTAACCATGGGCCATGGTGCCTTGCTTGTATCTGTCAAGTCAATTGATCTATATCCTAAAAATACAATGATAATAAGGCGAATCTGGTGCCTCTGTAACTGCACAAAAGATGAGTAGGATAGACATTCTTTATGTAAAGCAATTCAGACACTAGATAGTTCAAATCTGGTATGTGGTCACTTCCCACTTCTGAGGCTTTGTAAAGTATCTTTACTTGTCTTTGGACAGTTACTACAATCAAGAAGAAATCAAGAAGTCCTGCAGATATTAGTATAACTGCACCCCATGTATGAACAAGTCATCTTGGGCCACGATCCTACCATGGGTCTTGATTTTTCACATCATGAATTCCTGTTCCTTACTCTTGCTCAAGGTAGGTGAAAAAGCCTCTTTGAAAGTTTTGGGTTCCTGTCTTCCTTTTTTCTTCTTTTTCACATTCCAGCACTCAAGAACCACCAAATTATATTGGAATGTCAACGAATCATAGAACCTAGAGACAGTATCCTGTCCATCTCCCTGCCAATGCAGATCTAGGCCATACATTACATTTCCAATAATTTAAGAGGACCCTTCCCCCCTCGGCTTAATTCTTTAGGAAGCAGTAGCAAAAAAATTAACAATGAGGACAGGAACAAAAGATGGCACTCTTCAGCAAATGCTCCTTTTATCTAAATGCCTTTCACTAGAAGGATTTAGCAGGAAAATTAAATGTTCGGTCTGTCCTACTGAACCTGATCTTCTACAGACATTTAGACCTTCAAAACTGGACATGACAAAATAAGCTAAAAGCAAAGCATGAACTATATAGAAAAGAGAAATGTAAGGGAAATATTTGATTTTCTAATTCTTAACTGCCTTACAGGTGTACATCCAAAACTGTCCATTAGGTAAAGATATAGGTCTCTAATAAAAAAAAAAAATCTGACTCATACGGTGTAAATATGTACACAGACAGCAACACCCAAGGCTTTTTTTTTTAAAGATATACTGGGAGATTGTGCAATCACATCACTCATTGGAATTGAATAGGTGTAAAGAAGGGCAGACAAGCCCAAAGGTAGTACTGAAATGTACCAGATACAGAACTGAAAGGCCAATGAAGACATACGAGATCCAAAATAGCAAAAAAGAGCAAAATGCTCAAAGTGCACATGGAATAACCAATACTGTTAAGTTACACACACGAACTGAAGAGAACTCCAGGCTCACTACTGTGTAATATTTTTGACACTGTTAACTACAACATCCCAGTCTTTAAGTAGAACCAGATAGGTACAGAGACATTCAGAAATTTCATTGGGCTGTTTTAAGCTTTTGTCAAAAAGAAACAAATCTGAGCATTTAACCTATAAATATATAGCAACTGTGTACACAACAGCTTGAAACATGCTTGAAACATGCCACTTAATGTCTTGGCAAATAATAATAAATATCTATGTAATGATTTAACAATGAAAATTATTCTCCACTGACTATGTATGTCTATTAACAAAGAAACTGAAGCAGCTCCTTGTTTTAA